TCTCCAGTCACTTAGTGGATTCTCCGAGGCACTGAACACTGCACCGCAATTAACCAATGATGGCATCAGACCGGGTGAAAGGAACAGTAGAACGGGAAAAGGAGACAGACAGTCTCAGCCCGTCTTGTTGAACACACGCTCGCAAACACGCGGGAAGGGGATGGATTCAAATTACCGGTAAAATCTGTGCCAGGAGGAATTTGGTTTTGAAACGATAGCCCACTTTTTCCTCAAGAAAGCATTGTTGGGCAGTAAAAACTATTTGGTGAAGGATGACTATTGTATTTTTTTTGAGGAGACACATCATGAAAAATGTTCTTTTTGATTGCTGATGTCCAAAGAGCTGGTCCCCTGCATTGCCACATCTTGATTTTTGTACGAGTGCGAGCCTCATTTTGAACCATGGAAGACATTCAGCCCCCCCCCCCCCCCCACGAGTATGAATATTTAATAGGAGGTCGGAGTTATGCGTCTCCAACTCCCACACTCGCCTTCCTGTTTCGCAAATGGACTGAAACATCTGCTCCTGTGGGTTCCGCCAGCACTTCCCAGGCCTCCGAGCTCTTGATGTTCGGAGAAGGCACGGGAATGGAAGGGGGCCCGTCAGTCGAGAGACAATTAATGGGATTCTTCAGTGAGGTTAAAAGGGAGTTTATCCTCATTAGGTGTATGTGGGGTGACAGCGGCAGCTAGGGGTGCTGGAGTGAGTGTCGGCGCCTGTTTGGATTTGTGTATTCTTGAGCAGCCAATGATGGCATCAGACCGGGTGAAAGGAACAGTAGAACGGGAAAAGGAGAATAAAAGGAGACAGACAGTCTCAGCCCGTCTTGTTGAACACACGCTCGCAAACACGCGGGAAGGGGATGGATTCAAATTACCGGTAAAATCTGTGCCAGGAGGAATTTGGTTTTGAAACGATAGCCCACTTTTTCCTCAAGAAAGCATTGTTGGGCAGTAAAAACTATTTGGTGAAGGATGACTATTGTATTTTTTTTGAGGAGACACATCATGAAAAATGTTCTTTTTGATTGCTGATGTCCAAAGAGCTGGTCCCCTGCATTGCCACATCTTGATTTTTGTACGAGTGCGAGCCTCATTTTGAACCATGGAAGACATTCAGGCATACTGAGTCTGTTTTCTTTGACGTGCGCCCGGCTCACCTTGAACCACGTCTAACAATTGGCCCAAGTAGCCGAGTCACTATTTAGCCTGCAGCTAATTTCCAAAAACATGCGAGAAAGCCATTTTTAATTTTTTTTTTTTAGGATTTTTATGTCATAGGCTAGTTTCTAGGCTAGTTAGTTGCCAATTGCAAAACTGAAAGACTTTTGGATGAATGGATGAATTAATCTTCGCAAACAGCATTGCCAGTGTTCGCTTCTGATAAGCGATGCAAAACTCAAAAGTTGTCGGTGAAGTCGCCTCCTGACAGATGTGTTCACTGTTCCTTTGTTTTCATAGTTCCCTTGAGTCAGGATTTCGCTTTGGAAACCCAACGACAACCCGACCAAAGCCAAGACAAGTCAGTACTGTGCAATGGAAAACCAACAATTGGGTTGTTCTTGAATGGGGTATTTTTCCTGAGCCGAAGGCAGAAGCAATTGCCGTAAAATGTGTCTGGGTCCCCCCCCCCCCTCACTAATATAGATTTCAGAAGAACCGAAGAACTTCCGTTCACTTAAATTGGGATGTGTGAGCAGCAGACACAAATCTATTACAGTTCCACTAAACTACCGCCGCGATGCAAACAAAGGCAATAACTGGGCATTACGGCAAATGGAATTCGGAGTCATCTCAGCCAAAGTTGTAATAGAAAAGCATTATGAGAGCATTAAACGAAGCCATATAAAGAAGTTCAATCAAAGGCGAATCCCAAGAAATGCACGTATGGTGAACAATAAAGTAAACATAACCTCCAAAAGCAGTTAAAAAAAAATATTTAAAAGCATTAGTTTCCAGCTAAAGTGCAGCATCGCCAGAAAGACAACTTTATCATCAGCCAAGTTGGAGCTTAATTCATAATTAGATCAGGACAATTGGGAGGCGATTATCAGGTCAGGGAGGAGAATCTTAATGGCAGACTGATTATCGGCATGAACACCATCACACCATTAATTAAATTCTCTTCATCAAATCACTGAGATCTCCACATATAATTCTACACAAACTTATCTTTGTATACCACTTTTATTTTTTTATTCATTTATTGTAACTACATCATCATTTCGAACGCTCGGAAAGCTAAAGCGTCCGGACCCGCGCCGTTTAGCCTTACGCGGGGGTGAAACCTGACAAGTTGAGACGCAGGACTGCTGTCCCTTGAGTATCGGCTGCGTTTAATTAATAAACAGGCACTTAGTGAGCCAACCGCAAGAGGGTCCTTACTGTCACCCTCCCAGAGGTAGGGGTCCTAAATGAGTCATTAGATACTCGACACACAGTCACTGCCGACATACTGCCTGTTTGTACGTGGATGTGAGTGTATGCATAGGGGGTCGGGTAGTGTGGTAATAGCATTTTAATGATAGCTACACCTGCCTAATCACCTGTTCAGGAGCCTTGCAGCATTCCACGTAACCCGGCATTCTCAACACGGGAATTATTTTTAATGTGTCCTGTTCAAAGCTTCCCTCTCATTTGCCTTCCCAATGATTCCACAAGGCTCCATTCTCGCCTTCTCCGCATCTCAGGAAGCGAGGTGTAATTATAATCCAAACTTGGCTAATTCACATCAACATATCATTGGAGTCGTACAAAATAGCTTTTTGCAACGTCAGGGGTTTGTACTCCCAAGTGCAAACGAGTCGATGCGGGACAGTACGTGTGTTTAGACAAGAGTTTGTGATAGATTTCTTCTTTTTATTTTTTTAATGTATCGTCAAATCAATACAGGTGAAACTTTATGAGCATCAATAACTCGTTGCAGACAGTTTAGAATGTTTTCTTTTTTTTTATTCCTAAAATCACGATGGAATTTGTGCTGTAAAAAAGACCCATTTAATAAAAACAAAAACCAATGATACAACACCAGGGGTCTGTATTTCTCTCTCTCTCTCTCTCTCTCTCTCTCTCTCTCTCTCTCTCTCTCTCTCTGTCTCTTAATAAGTTACATTTCGGATCCTGCTCTATTGTGTCAAGTCCCTAGCGCCAACTTCTGAAATGATTTGGCGCCATAGCAACAAAACCGAATTGAATCGACTGGGGACTCGAGTAATGACACCGAAAATGGATGGATGGATGTACTGAATAGAATTTTTGGATCCATCCATCCATCCCTTTTCTACACCGCTTATCCTCATTGTAGTGACGGTTGTGCTGGAGCAGCCTCTCAGTTCATGGTGATGTGAAGCTATCCTTATTGTAGACAGTGACGCTGGTGTTGCATCAGCTTTCAGTTCTTGGTTATTTCTGACTTACCAGTGTCATAAAAGCTTGGAACCGAGCGCCTTCGGGGACAAGCTAGACCGACTCTGTGATGCTCCCGAGCCTGGATGAATCTGTGAAGTTGCAGTCAAGAAGGGCATCCGTCTGTAAAGTCGATGCCAAATTGTATTTGGAAGTGAGAGATAATGAAGTTGAGAAAAAGGAACGCCCAGAGCTGGACTATTTGGAGAAGGCTTATCCAAAACGTATAAGCGTGCATATTTTTCCAACGTTGAGCAAAGATGCAGTAAGTGGAGAATACGGGGAGAATACTCAAACCTCACATGGGAAGTCCGAGGGTGAGATTCGAACCCCATACTGCACCTTGGAATGTGAGGCAACCATGCAAACCACTTGACCGCCTTTTCTGCATGTTTAAAACTAGTGACCACGATTATATAAAACCTCTGCTTGACCACAATCGCACACGGGGACTATCCTCACTCTGCAGTCCTAATACCCTTTCTTTAAAGCTAACTTGAGGACATTGATGGAGAAGGATAGCTCAACAATGCAGCATTGCACTTAAGTGCGGCTGACGTATCTATAAATTACAATTGGGGAAACCTGCTGTTCCGCTGACAAACTCAAAACGATGTGCACTCAAGTGTCGGACACCTCTGTCAAGATTATCTATTTGAAAGTACTCAAAGTACTTGAGTTTGAGTATTCCGAAAAAAAACTGGGTACATGGATCCAGTATTAATCATCTTCTTTCTTGAATGGAACTGGCAAAGACAAAAAGCCACGCCAATGAAAGTTGATTCCAAATGTCGTGGTGGTCTGAAGGAGCTCTTGAGTTTAACGATGTGTTGGAGCTCCACTCATGAGTTCATGTTGATCGCTAACCTTGCCAGGCAGTATGGTAATACTCAACCTTGCATTCTGCATAACTAGACCTTGAATCACACTTTATTTCAATGAATAAATAAAGATGGCGCAGACAACAGAGTAAAGGCAAGGTCGCCGTGCCAGCCCTGAAAATTAGAGATGCCGACCAACAATTTCATATGCAACATTTATGTAAAGAAAGTGCTATTTTCAATCATATGAGCATTTGATTCCATTCTGATCCAATTCAACCCTTTCTACAGTGGACAGCTTATGCTATCAGGTTACAGCTTATCATTATTTGTGCATGAAAAGAGTTGAAATGTATTCTCAACAGTGACGCGAAACAAGCTTTGGAATCATTCAATCAGTCACAGTGTTGTGTGTAAGTGGCAGAGATCAGAGACACGCATTCTGATATTTGTCTGGGGCTGGCCCCAGTGAGAGGCCTATCTACAGACCACTGAGCAAGCAATTTTGTTCGGCTAGCAAGGTTTTTCTCTCCGCTCACACAATCTGGGCTTTATTTCCTCCCAGCGGAAGGTTGCATTTGGAGTGTGTACACGTGTTGCTCAACCTTGGCGATTCGTGTTGCTTCATTTCGTGTGAAATAGAAGCTGGCACATGGCGACAGTTTGTAAATCATTTGGGGTTGTTGGATGTGTTCTTGCCTTTTTCTACCCACTTTTTTTTCAGGAAATCGCAAGAAAATGTCAATGGGCACGGGTAGACATGCTGTGGCCACACTGCCCGAAGCGATATTTCACTATAAAAACAGTGGTTTTTGCCGCTTTTGCCAAGCCGAGCTTGAATAGTTTTTATTTATTACAGAATATTTCTTTTTGTATAAAATCCGACTGAATCCTCATGAGAACGATCTCCTCTACCTGAAATCCGGTTCGATTTACACTACACGGTTTAAGCTGCTCAATTCAGACTTCGTTTTTCGTCATATGGCTGAGTTAAGATAAGCTTGATGGCAGCGTAAACATCCAAACAGATTCTCAGAACTAATCCAGCCTCGATCACACCGTATGTTGATGAAGAAGATCAGGTTTTCCGAAATACATGTGTGAAATTTGTCAGTCAGATGTTCAAAAAGGAGTTCAATGTACCGTATTTTCCGTACTATAAGGCGCACCTAAAAGCATTCAAGTTTCTCAAAAGCCGACAGTGCGCCTTATAATCTGATGCGCCTTATATATGAATCAATGTTCTGGTTTCTTGAACGTAGTATTTTAAATATTCTGTAAAGTGCTTTGTTGCAGCCGCCGTGGTTGTGAAGGCTCTATATAAATAAAATTGTATTGTATTCCTTTAGAGTAGCTCCAACTAGTGGATGCATAATGCAATTGCAGTCACTATTGTAGTTTCTAGTCTTTGCGCCTTATAATGCTCTGCGCCGTATATATGAAAACAGTTTTAAAATCGGCCATTCATTGAAGGTGCGCCTTATACACCGACGCACTTTACAGTGCGGAAAATACGGTAATTAGTTTAAAAAAAAAAAAGAGAGATACAAGGGGGAAGCCCTTCGTACTTGACATGCTGCCAAAAGTCGGTTACTGCACTACTGACTGTGTTTGTTTTATTTTCCTGGCCTTATTGGCTGTAATTTTGACTTTACTACGGCATTATTGTAAACTCACACAGGATGATTCCAGCAGAAACCGGTATCTTCTCTAAGTGAAAATTTGAGACACTCTAATTGTGTTTTATCTAAAGAGGGAGAAAAAAAAAACAACATACAATGATGGGCATCATTAAGATCACTGGTGTGTGCCAATACATTGCACAGCTATAGCATCTGCCTTGGTAATGTTCATTAAGAGCAGAAAGCCTTTCGCGCCAATACACACACACACATGCCCATATACGCTCGTCTTTATCACCACAACGGAGCAAACACGGCATTAAATGGCATCGAGCGTAAATGAGTGTTTTAATAATCTAATTGTCAGGTCAAGAGGAGTTTGATCATTTAGAGAATTGCATACTTGACTTGCATGTTCGACAATTTAATGAAGAAAACTTTCAGAATAAACGCGACGCAGGGGTTTGGGGATTTCATTTGATATTTTATTCGCAAGATGACTGCCTGCCCGCATTCTAATGACCCCATTCTGTTTTCTCACCCTGCCCTCTCCTCCTTGTCCCGTCTTGTCTCCAACAGCAATTTGGCAAGATTTTGGATGTGGAGATTATTTTTAACGAGCGAGGCTCCAAGGTAAGTCAACATCGAGGTCTACAGTGCACATGTGAATATGTTTTGTATTTCCTCTGACTTTAGTCAGTATCCCTTGTCTGCATTTTCTCCTCCTCTGTCTTCACAGCTCTTTCTTTCACTCCGTCTAAGGATAATTACAAAGTTATCAGTTCCAATTGCCTTCAGGCAGCTCTTAGACATTTCCCGCCTGCCACCATACGTTGAGACCGACGCTCAACCGCCTCCTCTTATCCTAACGCTGACATCAGGCCGCTCACAGTATGCAAACACGCGCGCACTGTCCCAGACTAGTTAGCTCCCTGACCTACAGCAGTGGGAGATAACCGCATATGGTGGGGGGAGCAAGCAAAAAAGACGGAGGCGATCAAATAAACAAATTCAGCCTCACCGGCTGTCAACGTCGAACGTGCGAGTCTGACAAACGTATTAGCTAGCAGCACACACCAGCCGCAGCCGGTCAAGAATACACAAATGGAACACGTTGGCCGGCAGATTATTCTTGAAGGACACCCATTAGGCACGTTTTTGACAGTTTAATTGTGTCACATCATTAACTGATAACATGTAAAAGTGGGAAGAGAGGGAGGGATAATTGCATCCAAGAACCCTCGGATGCAACCCGGCACACAGTGTCGTGGCCCCTTAAAGCATGTGGCACGCCAGAGTCCAGAAGAGGAAGTGAGCGTTCTCAAATTTGCATAAATTAATAGAGGCATGAGTGGAAAAAGACCTGCAAACGATATAATCGATGGGGAAAAAAAACAACCGATGTGATGCTGATTCAGTGAAATTACGTGCTTGTGACGGTTCAAGGGATTTGATCAATACAAATCTATATATTGAGAGAGAGAGATGGGTATCAAAAATACTTCAAAATGTGTGTGTGTGTGTGTGTGTGTGTGTGTGTGTGTGTGTGTGTGTGTGTGTGTGTGTTTATTTATTTATTTATATATTTTTTCCAATTACATCATAATCGTAATGAGGAAATCAGGAAATTAAAGATCATTTTTTTCACCCCTGCTGGTATTCTTTTTCCGTTTCCAATTCAATGAACCTTTCTTTTGGCCTCCCGTCAGAATCAGGCCTCTTGAGCTTGAAAATTAAAACGAATCGGAATGAGTTTTGTCACTTAGCCTCTGATTGGTTGAGAGCACAATTATGAATTAAAACCACATTTTTTGTTCATTATACTAACTCAAATTAAATGTAATTATCGCAAAAATATCCTTCGTTTTTTTTCCATCTTTGTTAATTAATTTCATTATTTTAAATGTATATATTTTGGTATTACCGTTCGATTAAACAGAGGAATGAAGGTCAAACAGTTGTTTGGAAACTGCAGTTGACTTAAGTTTATCACACCATACTAAGAGCTAAAGAACCCCCCCCCCCAAAAAAAAAAATCCAACAAACCCACTCTAAAAAGTAATTAAATCTACCTGATTATTTCAAAAGTAAATAAATAAAAATAATTGTTTTGAAAAATCAAACTATGACAGCCCTGGTTCCCACTTGGATGAAAACGTATAGAAAGACCCTGTCGGGAATCAAATAAATCGTGTGGCGCCGGTGGACAAATTAACATTAACACTCACATAATATGATTGAGTGACACTTCGGATACAGCAAAAGGGCTTCCTTCAGTTGAAAATAAAGAAAAAGGCAGAAAAATACATATCGCTTGATGTGTGACGCGGTATATTTAATCCTGTTTCAATTCTGCAGGTACGCGGGAACGCCCAATGAGTATATTTATATTTCGATTTCAGCATCCGCGCAGTGTCTTCTTCACTTCTCCCGCTCGGTCTCAAACTCAGACAGGGTCTCGTGAGTGAGCTGCACACCCTGGGGCTGAGTCACTCATGGCTGACAAGTGTCATATTTTATGGCCTATATCTACTTCTGTGACCAGCAGAGGGACACGCACTGGACTTGTGCACGTGCACACCATCAACCGTCCACCTATCCTCACCTGTAGGGCTTGCGGGCGTGCTCACTCTTTTATCTAATTCTTCTGGGTCCAATGATTTGTGGAAATGTATTTGCAGTGGGCAATGAAAAGACAAACCCGAGAAGGGAAAGTGTCACACATGAAGTGCTCTTGTTTCCGTTCAGACGGTCGTGTCACAGATGTGTGTGCAAATGTCCTGTTTTCCAACCTTCCGAGCCCCCAAGTCCCATTTCCTAACCTCCAGGCCTCTCATCTCTGCTTTTGTCTTTTTTCCCCTCTCTTCTTTTCTTCCCCTCCCCTCCCCCCCCTCCTCACTTCCATCCTTCGTTTCTATATTTTTAACCTCACTTCCTTGCAACTGCAGGGCTTTGGGTTTGTAACATTTGAAACAACCGCCGATGCTGATCGCGCACGGGAGAAACTAAATGGTACAATCGTAGAAGGACGCAAAATAGAGGTGCCTGTTTGTTTGGTTTTTTTTCCTGTCTTTGCCTATGGTCCCCGCCCCTTTTCTCCCTCGCCGACTTGTAACCCCCTCCTCCCGCCCCCTGACTCTGTCTTTCCTTTTTCCTTCTGCCTGAAGTTTCCTGCAATACCTTCCCTCTCTTGCATTCATCTCGTGTCTTCCACCTGCCTGCTGCACCTTGAACGCTGCATGCTGAAGCCTGATCTGATCTGTAAGTGTTTGTGACAAAGACAGAGGGAGAGCGATTCGGCGACGTTTGAGTGTTTTGACACAAACAATGAATTACCACTTTGCTCATGACGGATTGTGGCATGTGTGTTTGTGTGTGCATGCGCACGCAGTCACATCAGTTTGTTTTTTGGGCAGTTCAAAAGAAAGACATTGGATTCAAATCATAGTGTCTCTTGTGCACAGTATAAATCAGCAGATTATTTATTTTTTGAACCCTTTCGTGGACAGCGGTTACTACAGTGAACAGCCTATCAGGTTATCAGGTTACAGGTTATCATTATTGGTCCATGAAAGGGTGAATGGTCTATTTGCTCTCTTCCTCATCGAAACACTAGAAAAGTGTCAATAAAAACGTTTGCCACAGTGCGCTGAAGTGGCGCACGCTGCAAGAAAATGCAGAGTTGAAGGAATTTTGTCATACGCGATATGACATGACACCTTCTTGTGACTGGTTCCAGATCAGCCCTGAAATCGTTCATCGTGAAATTGTACTGATAAATAAATTAAATGCCATGACGAGAATGGTTTCTGGCATTTCAAACATGCTTACACCAGCGGAAATTCTCCATCCTATCCATCGCCTCTCATTTTGCTGATGCCTCCTCATCACCACAAAAACCGTCATTGTTAAGCACAGCAGGGCTGCTTTCGACCTGCCTTTCCAATGGCATATTTAAAGATATGACATTAGCCCACAGAGTTCCCTTTTCAGGATTGGCAAATCAAAATGCGCATGATAAATTAATCTATTTGCATTGACTCCTCATGATATTTATTTATTTATGTATTTATTTATTAACGCTTGGATCGAAACACACCAAATTAACTGTGTTGCAAGTCAGCAGATGCAATCCCGGGTGCGCTCGGTTCGTAGCGTTCACATCTATTCGTGCGAGCAATCCAGTTTGCGCCAGTTTTTGTATGTGCAAACATTTAGAAATCAGTCCGTTGTGTGCAGTCAAACCCCCGTGGTGTCGCGTTCACAAATTCACCTATTTTGGTGCTCAAGCCAAAACGATCAGTCTCATCAAAATAATGCAGTGACACCATCTTATAGCATCTCGGATCGATAAAATGTTGAAATGAGAGCAAGAACCGTCAGTCGGTAGCCTCGTCTACATAAGAAGAAAACAAAATGACCTGCTGTTGTCTTTTGGTGAATAAGGGCAACTACAAATGTTTTTGGATTGATCCCTGTTATTCTGTATTCCAGTAATTTTGTTGAAAGGAGGATGCGTGCGTGTCGATTGGATTTTTACCAGAGCCTGGCTTGTGAATGACTGGTTGAGTTGCAGAATTATTCTTTGAAAACTTTGATCCTGCAAGATTGTCACAATTGGTGTATTTTAATGCTTGATGATTACATTTTGTCGACAGCCCTTTCAATTTTTTATGCATTATCTGTTTACGTTTTTTCTTTCTTATTACATGTTAGAATATATAGAAAATCTAACTGTTGACTGCATGTAGCCTGACTTCAAAAAAAAATGAGCATGGAAGGTGGTTATGATTCAATGCAATACAACGCATAGTGTGTGTGTGTCCAGCTTTGCCTAATTCGAACTTCTGCCTGCCTGCTGACAGGTCAATAATGCCACAGCAAGAGTAATGACCAACAAAAAAGTGGCAAACCCTTACGCAAACGGTAAGATGTAACCTTTATTTGTATCTTTGTGCGTTTGCTCATTTGTTTTTTTCTGTTAGTGCCAGGTGATGTTTCATGGTGGCAAGCGCAAAGCAACAGACCTCTTGGTTATTTATCAAAGGTGGAGGGGAAACCCGAGTCTATTCACTTTTGGAAGAGAAAGGAAACAAAGGCTTGAGCGGGCGTCGTCCTTTTACTTGAGATGAATGAAATGCATATTTGTCATCGAGGGTGCTCAATCCATATGTGTCATCGGGAATAAAGTTTGAAATATCACACAAATAGCAAAGTGCAGGCAGGAGTTAATGGCAAGAGGAAAGGAATAGAAATAGAAAAACGAAAGAAGAGTCAATGAATATAGCACCCCACTCGGACTCTCCCCATGGCGCACTTGTGCCTAAAATGCTACTCAAACCTCTGCCGCTGTGCAAAATATCAAGGTAACAATATAAGAAAATAAAACCGAACATCCATTTGGTCCTGGTGCTGCGTCATTAGTGAGTGAATGAGTTTTTCCCAATTATCAGACATTTCACCGCGTCGTCACACGCGCTAGCGGGTGGCAAAAGTCATCACAGTGTGGCTTGAATCATGATTTTAGCCTTCTCTAATTTGAATGTGTAAAGTGTCACTCAAAAAGCAGATCGAGTTATGCGAGGTAAATTGCTTCGAAAGGGAGATGGTATGCCGGCTGTAATTTGCATTTCTGCAGATAAATTGATTCGACTTTAGATGTGATGGAAATTCTGACATAACCTGATCACAGGCGGGCTAATTAATTGACTTTTCTGTTCAGATTAATGGCAGATGTGCTCTTTTGACACTCAAGCGGGGAGGCAGGCCAGGCTAATTTTGGTTTGTTAAATTACTCAATGACAACCCAATCAAACATTTTATACATACCTCTGAACAAATGTCTTGTGTGCCTGCGGAAGAGGTTTATCCTCTCTCCCCCGTATCAACTCCCTTTATCCTCCTCACCCAGAGGTTCCTCTAGATTCATTTGAATGTATTTTTTTTCATGGAAATGGAAGTGAACCTTATCCTTATAGGGTACCTCTGGCAAGACAACCCCAAACGCAACATTAGTCAGTCACTTCACCCAGAAGGATTGTATCAGGCGTATTGTTTACAAACATCATGTAGTGGTCTTGACTGCCTAATGGGTGACCAGATGAATGAGGTTAGGGTCCAAAAGTGCTTTGAGCATGCTGTGATATTCACTTTACATATAATCTTCAAAAAAAAAAAAAAAAAAAGACAATTCAAAATTCTGATGTGCACTGATCCATTAAATCGATCCATTCATCCATTTTCTAGTCCAGTGAGTTTTGATAAGAAAGAAATATCCAACTTGGTTGATTTATAGTATTGTTTTATAGCTTTGCATTTTGCAGTTGAACCAATGTATACAGTGTATTTGATTTTTTTTTTTTTTAAACATAAATTACAATTGTGTCCCCTCTGGTTTTGTATTAATATTCTCTACAGTCTATAAGATTAACAAAATGAAAATATATTTCGATATGTATTCTTATATTTAACTTTGAGGGACAGCGGTTACTACAGTGGACGGCTTATTATGTTATCAGGTTACAGGGTGCATGAAAGGGTTACTGTGTTTATTTGTGTTGGTCTAAATCCATCAATTTTCTATCCTGATTATTTTCATTCGCTTCACAAAAATTAGTATCCGCAAAACTCGGAGCCAATACTGACTTGCGTTTGTGTTATGTGTGTATTCTTTTGCAGGCTGGAAGCTGAATCCAGTGGTTGGAGCCGTTTATAGTCCTGAATTTTATGCAGGTATGAAAACATACATAAATTTTACATATATATATATATTTTTTTTTTTTTTTTTTGCAGTATATGTCTTGCATGAACACATGCACTGGACTGACCATATCATGCAAATGACGGATTTTCCACAGAGGCGCACGTGTGGCTGCGCTGACTTTCGTGTATTTGCGGAAGCGGCGTTTGAAATAGCGGCTTGGTTTCATGTGCCGAGACTGTTTGCTCACCATAACTGTACTCCTTTTTGCTCATTAGTCTGAAATCTGCTCATTGCTAGACAGCTTTACAGCACCCCTCTAAGTAACGGCTCAGACAGAGAGAGGCCATCCATCTTTTTTACTTCTCCCCCGCGCCCTCCCCTTCTCCCGACTTTTCTGCCCTTGTCCCAGTCGTGCGTCTCTCTCTCTCTCTAAATCCGCCAACCCAAACAAGCATCGGCGCATGAAGAGACGACCCCTTTCCCAATGCAAACAGGGTAATCTTTCATTTAGTTCCGTAATCCCACACAAATGACAAGCGCATCGTGGAACAAGCTGTTGTTCAAGTATAACATACGAAGAAAAGAAGTGCAACATCAGTTTGAAAAAGCAAGAACAGGTGGTGAATGCAGACTTGCCGAGTAAGGCCTATGAATACAGTCGATGTTAATCATGATTTCTCTTCTGGATCCAACAAGAACGCAAACGGGTTAAACAGACACCGTGTGACTGTTTTCACCTTGTCTCAAATTGACAACATTGAACGTTTCTGCTGCCCGATGTTTCCATGTGTCGCTCGGTTCACAGACTTTTCAGACCTGAGTCAGGATTCTTTTTTTTTTTTTGCCGTTGCAGTTTCAGTTCAAGAGTGTTGCTGTATATTGAGCGTGAGGTCTTTCTCCCTCTCTCTGTCTCCTCTGTTGAGAGCGATCGTGGGCATGTTGTTACTTTTGGCTGTGGGCCCTGAAGTGAAATTTTTGTAATTCTTTTAGGGACAGCGGTGGGGTTACAGATTATCATTATTTGTGCATGAAAGAGTTAAAGTACCGAGACTCCTCCATTGTTTGAATTCAGGGTTATCGTCTTTTTACATATTATGGCAATTAACGTGAAGTCGAGTAAATGAAACGAATGAGTCTGCGTAATGCCCATCACTGCCACATAATTGGCTTCGCAATATCCAGGTCCCTTCGTCATCGAAGTTGAGACCTGATTTTTATTTTTTCCCATGGATGACAGTTAAGAATATTAAAAAAAAATATATATAAAAAGTTCTGAAGAATGGATAATTCATGACGTCTATCTTTATGTAATTACTGTCGATGGATGTACGTGTACGAATTGGATGTCAACCAGAGTCGCGGAATATATTTTGTTTGACTTTCAAGATTACTCTGCATATAAAGCGGAAACAGGCTAATGTGCGAACGTTATGTGGCTCTTGACTTGGCTCTCATTGCATTTTATGGAGATGAGACTTGACTTTTTCTAGCTCTGGTAAAACAGCAGCGGCCTTGAAGTGGGGTGGGGGGGTAAAATTGAAACGGTCTCTAAATGGAATGTTCTATGGATTCACGTGTCCAACTCATACACATATCCAGTCTGGCGTTCTAATTTATAGGATGCTAATGTGTCGAGTGGTCTTAAACGCACCACTAAAGTTTGCCAAGCCGAAATGACACCATATGCTTCGTTCGCTCCCAGGACAAGAGCAAAATGACAGAATTTGAGGAAGGAAGACAACACACCAGAAAAAGATGAACCCAGTCATCCCTTTGTCTGTCTGCCCATTTCAAATTTTTTTTTTATACCCCTTTCCACTCATCAATCAAACCCACCAAGCCTTTTAGTCCGATATTACCAGCCGATATGAGTTAAACTGCAGATGGATTTGGATCTATATTTACAACTGCCAATAAATGACAATTAAAGCAAGAGAGGAGGAAGATGAATCCTCCATCCATGTTTATGAGACGAGTCAATATATATTTCAAAATTTCTCTGGGTTTATCACAGCTGTTATCAGCTGATTTAGCGGTGGAGGCCATGATGAATGGCATCTACTGTATGTACGCAGACGTAAATGAATCTCTTAAAATACGAATAATATATCATGTCGGGGACAAAAGTCTTGGGTCGTATCTCTTCATGAATCGAGTATTTGCCATTTGTTTGTTGTTTGCCGTTCCGTCACGCCCGCATCCCGGGGGCAAAAAGCAACGTCTGACGGAATAATTTTGGTGTGGAAGAATCTGACCGCCCTGCGCGGAAACTTGACCCGAGGCTGTTTAGACTGTCAGACTCAAAACGTGGCTCCAAATAAATAAATAAAAATAAATACACGTAGACACACTTCAAAATCTTGTCGGAAAATCATCTCAGAGCGACGGGAGCTGTTTCGCAGCCGGGACTGCGAATCCAGTTTCTGGATTAGTAAAGTGTCAACACATTTCCAAAAGATTGAAACTATAAAGTCTGTGTCATTTAGTAAGTTCGCCATATTATGACTGTTTCAAATGTTATGACTTTTTTTTTCCATTCCAGCTTCATCATCGCATGATGTCATTTCATAAAAGTGCATTGAAAACCTTCCAGGTTTCTGTTGCTGTAAATGAAGCCAACTTTCCATTTGCCTAATTAGAATTGTACATGGAAGGTTGCACTTTGAAAACTTGTTTTCAGCTCCCAAGGAGTGAAATGATCGTGACATGTCGGTGGCGGTGTAAGATATACACTGAACAAGCTGTTAACTCGCATAAAAGTTGAAGAAAGTGATGCGTTTAATGTTCAAATAAAAAGCAAAGCAAAAAAAAATTGCAATTGAGGGCTGCAGACTTTTGGTATTGGAATCAGTTTTACGTTCAAAACCCAAATTAGGCTGCGAGATTCTCCACGCAGAAGTGAAAGTACGTGGGATGAGGACATCTTCTGGAATAATTATGGCTGCATTTAATCTAGTTTGGGGCGGGAGCAAAGCAGGATGTAAAGCGAGATGTAAGGCCGATTAATCACCCCTTTATCAGACGGCTTTTCCCAGCACCCATCAGCTGAATCGGCCCCCATAAATCCCGGCTAGCTGACAGTGCACTCCATCTCAATTGCTAGGCTTGGCTACAGGTTTATTGTGCGCAAATCCCATTCAGGAGAATGACAGATGACCTCCGCATGCATGCAGACGCACATTCTCGCATCCCACTTCATACATGCCGTGTTAAATTTGACCCATGGAACCCAAAACATCCACACACCGATCATGTACTGGAGCAACTAGGGCCAGGTCGCGTGATATTCTATTCATGTACTGTATGATTGCTTTATATTTCATCTGTTGAGAAATTATGACATGACACACGTGTCAGGTATCATGACTGCCTGTCTGATGTTTCTATCAAACTAAAGAATTCGAACAGTTACCTCAATGCGAGTGAATGGTAGAGATCACCGAAGGACTCCCGGTTTAAGATGGCGGCTCGGTCTGCACGTTCTCAAGCAGCAGAGTCTCTTAATACTTTTTTACACGTGCTGAAAAATGTACACATTGAAATGCCAACATTACGGCTTTTGTGATGTTGTATCGTCGTTGGTCCTCTGCTTTCCAACAGTCACCGGCACCGCTAGCTATGATAATTCAATCCGGAGTGGTAAACTGGTGAATACATTTAAGATGAATTTAGTTTCTTGGTATGGTGTCAAAATATACCCATTGTTCTCAATTCATATGTATGTAGTTGTTTTTCCACTTTTTTTTTTTTTTATGGGCTTGTTAGATGTCATGCAAGACCCCTGCAATGATTCATGGGTTGTTACAGCACCACTGTAGCATGCACAAGCCATAGCTCATCGTCATGTTCCTTTCAGATGTGTCACGCCGCCACCGACAACACGTTGCTATATTCACACCCATCCATTAGCACGCTTGCTGGCGCACGCACGTACACACAAAGTAGAATTAATATCAGGACGTCCACTATTAAGAGAGCGGGGTAAAGAATCTGGGGTGGGAGGGGGAGGAAATTGATTTTTATCACCAACAGAATGCGTGCTGGCTGTGTGACATATTAATGCTGTTGTCCCGCTTGTTAGAATAGGACGGGGCAGAAACAGCAGATTGGTGTGGTTCTCCATCACTCTCCTGAGAGAGTAGGAGACAGGTCAGTGAAGGGAAAGGAAGGAGAGGAGGAGAGAGAGAGAAAGAGAGAGAGAGACAGAGAGAGAGCGCTAGCTTGATAGCTAGCTCGATAGGTAGCTCAATAGCCAGCTCGATAGATCGATGGGAGAATGGATGGATGGATCGATTGGATGGCTTACAACTGACCGCACAAAGAAAATAGCATCTGAAAGAAAGTTTTCTGATCATTATAAGACAAACACTCTTCAAAATGGAAGGAGTAGCATCATGCTCCGGGGCCATTTTGCTGCTAGTGAAATAACTACTCACAATGCATGTGGATTGTGAAAAGGGAATAGCACCTCTGAATTCTTCAACATGACCTCGAACCCCAAGTTAGACAGACAAAATATTCATACTTGTGTCCATGTCCGGACTACGAAAAATAAAATAAGTTTACAGTACTGTATTTATTCAGCGGGACCACGGGGTTGGACGCAAAGAACTGCAGCGGCGCGAAATGTAGCTCTACTATTGTCGCCAAAATGTTTGGGGTTTTTTTTCCCAATAATGCACAGCTAACTGTGTGCTAAAGAGAATTTTATTCAACCTAGACCTTCCATGATTCACCTTATATTTGTGTTACTCATAACACCCGTTTACGACGCTGACATCAATATCGCCATAGGCTACAAGCATGTGGAAATACAGATCCATAGCGTCTGCACTTTGTATTTTCACCCTGTTTTACCACTCTCAAACAATTAGTGCAACTAATTTCTCCCGCATTATTTTTCTGCGTGCTTTTGTTTCAGTCACAGGGTTTCCATACCCCACCGCAGGAGCAGCAGTGGCCTATAGAGGAGCCCATTTGCGAGGGAGGGGCCGGGCCGTCTATAACACGTTCCGTGCCGCACCACCCCCTCCGCCCATACCAGCCTACGGAGCGTGAGTGACATGCATACGTTCACGCGGTGAATAAATGTAATTCAGAAGTATTCAAACGTACCAGCGCACGCACGCGCGCGCGCGTTTACACGACACACTTGCAGTAATGGGAGAATGGTGAGTGGAAAACAAAAAGGCCACTTTCTAATAGAGCGGAAAATTGCTCTTTGATTCCAGAATGGCCAAATTTGTCTCTCTTTTTTCGAATGTGTCACTCTTTATTCAGCTGTGAATGAACTGCTATGACCTGCACTGCACACTCCAACGGGCCCACCTCAGTCAGAGTGGTGCTGTATGTCCGAGCTGGGGGGGAGGGGGAGTTTGCAGAGATGGTGGTAACCATGTGTAACCATGCTGAAATGATAGGACAGCAAATTTACCGGTATTTCATTATTTTGTGTTTTTTTGAGAGAGAGAGAAAGAGAGAGAGAGACAGAGAGAGAGCGCTAGCTTGATAGCTAGCTCGATAGGTAGCTCAATAGCCAGCTCGATAGATCGATGGGAGAATGGATGGATGGATCGATTGGATGGCTTACAACTGACCGCACAAAGAAAATAGCATCTGAAAGAAAGTTTTCTGATCATTATAAGACAAACACTCTTAAAAGTGGAAGGAGTAGCATCATGCTCCGGGGCTATTTTGCTGCTAGTGAAATAACTACTCACAATGCATGTGGATTGTGAAAAGGGAATAGCACCTCTGAATTCTTCAACATGACCTCGAACCCCAAGTTAGACAGACAAAATATTCATACTTGTGTCCATGTCCGGACTACGAAAAATAAAATAAGTTTACAGTACTGTATTTATTCAGCGGGACCACGGGGTTGGACGCAAAGAACTGCAGCGGCGCGAAATGTAGCTCTACTATTGTCGCCAAAATGTTTGGGGTTTTTTTTCCCAATAATGCACAGCTAACTGTGTGCTAAAGAGAATTTTATTCAACCTAGACCTTCCATGATTCACCTTATATTTGTGTTACTCATAACACCCGTTTACGACGCTGACATCAATATCGCCATAGGCTACAAGCATGTGGAAATACAGATCCATAGCGTCTGCACTTTGTATTTTCACCCTGTTTTACCACTCTCAAACAATTAGTGCAACTAATTTCTCCCGCATTATTTTTCTGCGTGCTTTTGTTTCAGTCACAGGGTTTCCATACCCCACCGCAGGAGCAGCAGTGGCCTATAGAGGAGCCCATTTGCGAGGGAGGGGCCGGGCCGTCTATAACACGTTCCGTGCCGCACCACCCCCTCCGCCCATACCAGCCTACGGAGCGTGAGTGACATGCATACGTTCACGCGGTGAATAAATGTAATTCAGAAGTATTCAAACGTACCAGCGCACGCACGCGCGCGCGCGTTTACACGACACACTTGCAGTAATGGGAGAATGGTGAGTGGAAAACAAAAAGGCCACTTTCTAATAGAGCGGAAAATTGCTCTTTGATTCCAGAATGGCCAAATTTGTCTCTCTTTTTTCGAATGTGTCACTCTTTATTCAGCTGTGAATGAACTGCTATGACCTGCACTGCACACTCCAACGGGCCCACCTCAGTCAGAGTGGTGCTGTATGTCCGAGCTGGGGGGGAGGGGGAGTTTGCAGAGATGGTGGTAACCATGTGTAACCATGCTGAAATGATAGGACAGCAAATTTACCGGTATTTCATTATTTTGTGTGGGGTTTGTGTAGGGTATACATGCCGAGAGACATGAATGGAGAGAGGTAGGGTTGGATGGATAGATAGGTACAGTACTGTATATCATATAAATATATGCAAGTATAGTTTTCCATTTTATGATCATGTACACTTTAAAAAAAAAAAAAAGAGCTCACTCTAACTGAGGTTCGTTTAAAACGAACTTGATGAAAAACCCCTTTATCCCATCTCCTTCAAGTCTGGCCAATTCGGCCAAGCGCAACAGTTCTTCAAGGCGTCTTTAAGTGAGTTTTTATGTCTTTCGAAAAAGAGTTCAGAGTGATTTGCTAGCGGAATGCTCTGCACTCCGAAAATGAAAAATCAAGTACCGAGCAATGTTTTCCCTCAAGTCATATTCATAATTAGAAGCTAAAATGCCTAGCACATGAGGTGCAGACATATTTGAGCAATTTTACGCGATGCATTTTGTCTTCCACCATTCAGATATACAGGTATCACTTATATGAAACAAAATATATTAAATAGTTAACAAAATACATCTTTCTTCATTGAAACCAAAATCCATATGCTTGTTTTGTCAGCAGTGTGGTCTACCAGGATGGATTTTATGGGGCAGAAATATATGTAAGTATATCGGTAGCCTATTTATTTTTTTTACAATTTGAAATGAACAAGATGTCTAAAAATAACTGAAGTATGGAATCAAATGACTGATGTCATTAGTTTTATTTCTTCATCGATTTGTCAGGCTTTGATTGATGCTGTCTCTTTGTTCAGGGCGGATATGCAGCTTACAGATATGCCCAACCAGCTGCTACTGCTGCAGCTGCATATAGTGACAGGTATGTCCTTTTTCGTTTTTGTTTTTTCCTGTATAGTTCACATTCAGTTATTATCCAAAAAAATTTGTATAGACCATCTCAAAAAAATGAATAATCGAAATAAACTGATGACATGTAATGAGATCAGCAGTTCTGTTGACTTCATTGGCAGTTTTGCTTTTGTCAAGACAATGTTTGAATAAAACAAGCGACAACAAATGATTTTGCTGGAATGTGTCAGGCAGGGCTCCAATGTGAGGTTCCCATTTCAAAATAATAGTCCAGGGGAAAAAAGATTTGGGTGAGGAGAAGTGCTAATACAAAGTGCTGAAAAGCTTTTCCGTTTTGAAAATAACTGCGTTATAACCCCGCTACAGAGACACATGGTGCAACGAATGTCATTGCTCCCGCCCAACACGGCTTTTTTCCTTCTACTTTCTGCTGACTGCTGTTGAACTAATAATATTTCTTGCTTCGTCTGAATGAAAACGATCATTTGTTAATCATCTTCAATCGACGTAAAAATGATTAGTCTGCCGTTATCTGTTCGAGTCAGGGTGCGGGGGTTTTGAGATCACGATCCGGATAGGAATATAAAAGATTATGAAATCATATTACACCAATGAAAGAGCTGAGAGATCTGTGTGTGTGTGTGTGCGCGCGTGTGTCTCAAGTATGCTCTGTGAACTATCCTCGAGAGATAGAGCATGTCAGGCAAGATAAGAAATGTTCACAGTGGGAGGCTGTAGACCTCTGATAATGTGCGATACAATAGAGGTGAGAAGTGAGTGGCGGTCTCCAAAGACGTAGAGGATAAAGAAAGTGAAAGGAGAAATATACTGCAAGTGAGAGGGCACATCTCCCTCCACGGGACTCATTTGGTTTCCTTTCATCCCCTCCCCATCACTTACATATTTTCTCTTTGTCATGCCGAGGTTCTTGATTCTCCATGACTGTTGTGTATCGCCTACGTCCTTTCGCTCGTGTTCTATTTTCACGCTTTTTTTTTTTTATTCAAAGGGAAGTACAAAGGTGGAATTGAGAGGAGATGGTTCAGAGGGCAGAAGGCAGTTTTATTCATCGTCAGACAAGCGGAGGTATTAAATAGACGACATGAGCTGGGAGACTTTTTTTTTGTTGTATTTTTCCTCTACACACTGTGCGCAAAGCAAACTAAACTGCAACTCTTTATATTTGAGACTGACCCTCCAATTATTTTTTTCCCCCCACCTTCCGTCATTTAAATAGCAGCCATACAGAAACTTCACGATCAAACCAATTCGGATAAGTCAATAAAATGTGAAGAATCATGAATCATGCTCACCTTTTCACCAAGATATGAACGACTGTATATTTGAACATCCTGAGCGACCATAAAGGATGTGAAGAACACTTCTAGTAGTAGAACGCAAACAGTTTTATCTTTGATTATTAAGGAATGGTGCTCTGCTTTGATCCTCACTGGGTATGCGGAAAGCAAAAAAAAAAAAAAAAAAATCAGAGTGATATAGAGCAACTTAAAACAAAGAATAACTGTTCACATGTTTTTGTATTCAGTGAAGTCCACCAATTTGCCTGAAATTTAAAACAGGAACAAATGAGATGAGGGTGCCACTGCCACCTACTGTAGCGGATGTGCAATTACACTTTATTCTTGTATAACTGTTCTAAATGTGTTCCCCAGGTCACACACACCCCATTTGGCAAGATAGACGCACTGTAACTGTAATCCGGGCACAGCACAATCAGTGGATTACTGCTGATGCCGAAAAGGATGCTTGCTTTGATTTATGAGCACATTCATTTAAAGACATTTCAAATTGGCGACATTCGCCCCGTTTCATCAGACCGGGGCGAAACATTGATTCCATGCGTGAGTTACGACATTGAGAAAGACAGTTCAGAAATGGTTTAAAGCATTTTCATAGGGGTGATGAAAAACTCATTTCAATTCCTTATTGATTCAACTCACCGGTCTTTGCAAACGCTCTCCCCGCTTCCTCCCTTTACGCGTCCTTCTCGTTCGGCTTCTCACTCAAACACAGAGTTTAACCAAATATAGTTTCCCCACATAACCACTTATCTTTTTCCTCCAGACATATTTTTTGCTTCCTTTTTAAATTTAGCCAACAAACAAGAGGGGGGCGGGGGGGCAAAGAGGAATCCAAATAAAGCAGTCTAGTCGCATCAGAGAAAGGGGGACGGAATGAGAAAAGAGATGGGCTTTGGGGTTGGAGATTAGTTCCGAGCCAGTGCTGGTGAATAGACTGGAAATAAATCTCGTGAGACAGACGAAGTGGAGCACTCTGAGTTGGCTACTTGGGGCAACCTGGAGGAGGTGAAGAAGAAGAAGAAGAAGGAGAAGGAGCCACCATAAAAATGGATTGCTCTCTCCGAACTTGTGCCCGCCGTCTTTGTTCTGCTCGGCCGAGCGGGAATCCCAAAGTAACTGACGATACAACATTTGCCACTTATAAAGAGGCTATCACTACACTTTGATCTCCTCATGCTTCCAACATCCCAACCACTTCATAGTCTGCTGCAAACTGCGGCAGTGAGAGTTGACGATTGCATTTTGATGAAGCAAACCGAACCACATTTGCAAAAGGGAGATGCCTAATACTGAGGGCCACCAAACCGAGAGCCGCCTTTCCGGGACTGATTAAAGCCAAGAGCTTCCAGTTTGAGGCACCGTAATGGGAATTTGACATCGAACAGTACTGAAATATATCTAAACTGTTTGTACCATTGAATGCTGACCAGTTATTTGCAGATAAGCAGAGTTGCTTGCTCATGCGCGATGACTATATTCTGTTATCTGAAGAAGTCGCTGTCCAAGGTGCTGACTGTGCTGAATCAGCACCTCGTAAGAAGGCTACAAGAGGGGCCGTACCTCAAGACTCCCTTTACAGATCTGTAAATGGTGTCTCTCTGTTTTGTTTGCTGAATCAGCACCTCGTAAGAAGGCTACAAGAGGGCCGTACCTCAAGACTCCCTTTACAGATCTGTGAATGGTGTCTCTCTGTTTTTTTTTTTTTTTAAACTGGAAGTAAATCTCACAATTTTTTTTATAAATACTTTTGTTGTCTTGGACAAAACAGCACAACTCAAGATCGTCATTTTATTATTAAAAAGTTGACCTGCGGATACCCTTAGGACAATATTTAACTTTCTTTTGGTAATATTTTTATTTTGTTTCTAAAAACTGGAAGTAAATCTCACAATTTTTTTTTATAAATACTTTTGTTATCTTGGACAAGACAGCACAACTCAAGATCATCATTTTATTATTAAAAAGTTGACCTGCAGGTACCCTTAGGACAATATTTAACTTTCTTTTTGTAATATTTTTATTTCGTTTCTGTGGCCCTTATTTGGAGTCTCAATGTCACATTGCCTGACACTTCATTTTTTATTTTTTTTAAAAATGTTTAATTAAATTACAACCAAGTGATTGGCACGCCGCAAAGCGGAAGGCAATTCTCCATCAAAGGAATACTTGATGCTCCGGGCCAAATATAATAATCCCACCATATGGAGTTGGCTCTGTATACCTTCAGGGAACATTTAGGTGACAAGACAAAAGACGCAAATTAAAGACAGAAGGATTCTTGAGCGCAGATTTTCCTCGGCGCGCCTTTTGGGAGTTGGAGTTGCCAAATGAAGGGAAGAGGGGTGCAAAGATTAACCAAATAAAAAAAGCTCACTGTTTCCATTGCCTGTTTTCTCTACTACAGTTATGGCAGAGTCTATGCAACAGCGGACCCGTATCACCATACGATCGGTCCTGCAGCCACGTATACCGTGGGCACGATGGTGAGTGTTTCCTCTTTCTTAGACCAGATTTGTTTTAAAGCGTCAGTTTATACGGTTGTTGGAAGTCACATATGACGCTCCTCCTAAACACGTGGATGTTAATGTGTCCCGGAGAACATGATGATGTGTCATACGACACAGTAAAGCGATATCCTTGGTGAATCATCAAGGAATATGACAACAGCCCTAAGGTTGCCGATAAATTGTCACGCCTGTGAAATGTTTTCCCACTCGATGTGCCCGAATTTTAATGTGAACGTGAATCATTGCCACTTCAGTAAATGAAAAAGGGAAGCTGCTGTATTCTCCGACTCCCCGATCGCATAATATTTGGCCTGAAGCTTTTTTTTCTTTTTTTTTTTTTTTGGCTTGAAAATTTAGCTGAGGCTGGGAATTCCTCCACGCAGGAATCATTTTGCGAAGGGAGGGGAGTCAAACGTTAATGTTTGTTTTTAGCTAGCTTTGCAGCTAACATCAAAGATGAAAATGATTTTTTTTTTTTTAAATTAAAACGAGAAAGCATCTCTCAGAGGACGGAGGAAAACCACAAGTCCTGCTTTTTATTGTTCCTTTTTCTACATGGGTCTAGGTAAAGCCTTCTTCCGGTGTGTTACAACCATCGGCTTGACGCATATGCCGTGAGATTTAAAGACAAAACAAAAGATAGAAGAAGGAAGCCCTAGAAGCAAAGGTACAGTCAACCTTTTATAGGGGCACGCATCTAACTTGGATCCGTTTTAACACGAATTAGACTTTTTTGGTACTTAAAAAAAAATAAGAATAATTTGAATACTTTCCATATTTATAGTTTTCTCTTTGTTAACATGCCTTAGTATATTTTAAAATACATTTTTAAGATTATCTTTCGTTGCCAATTGGTTGGAAATCATAGGTACCTTTCCTGGTACCTGTAATGACTGCAGCCTAGCTGTTGCTTGATGCAGCCTTGTGGGTTTCACGGGGGGGGGCAGCCGTTGCAGATTAATGCTGCAGTGCTGACATTTGTGTCGTGATGGCAATCACACCTCCCCCATGTGTCCCCCATGCGCACCTCCCTTCCTCCCCTATAGTGCAGCTGCTAGCTAAAAGCCTTCATTAATTACAACCATTATTTCCTCTTCATTTACTTAATTAAAACAGTGGCCTGTGTTTTCCTCCTTATTACTTTCAACTTTCTTCTCTTTTTCCTCCCTTCTGCCCCGTCCTCCCACATAAGTGATTTAAAGTGGAGAACTATATTCTAATCTTGAAAATTCAGCTGAGCCTCCCAAAGTCATTCACGGTGTTCAATCAAGATTTGAATTATAAGCTAGGAAATAATGATACAGCTCTCGCTAAATGGATGACGCTAAGATTTTGTTCGTAATGACCATAAATATTGGGCAAAATTTACAAGACAGGTAGTATTGGGTCTCATTGAAATGAGGAGTCCTTTGGAAAAAAAAAATACAGAATGAAGCACTGAAAATCGGCGTCAAACTTTGTAAGGAGGCCACGCAGGGAGAAAAAAGGGAAGATTGATTTGTTTGCATTAAAGTTAACTTGTCTAACATAAAAATACAAATCAAGGTTCTACATTGGATACTGATTGGAGCTTTTTTTTTTTTCATCTTTGATGTTGCAGGCTAGCCTTTACAGAGGAGGGTGCAGTCGCTTCACTCCCTACTAGAAAGGAGGGGGGGTCACGCCCCTTTCACTCCCCAGCAAAAAAAAAAAAAAACACAAATATAAAAGCCACAGCAAACAAAATCTAGAATTAGCCATCCCTTTCATATGAAGAAACACACTGTGCATCCAGACGGCCAATCGAATCATTCTAAATTTGCTTCTACTACTTTGCAGTTGCTGGTGTATGGATTCAGTGTCCTTAATTTGGGAACATTTGTCATTGGGTGGGGGGTGGGGGCAGTTGTCACAAAGGGAATCTTTATTTCCACCCTTTCTGTGTGTTCTCTCCAAGCTTGGTCTGCAACTCAGCTCCTTTGGGATGGCCCAACTCGATTGTTTTCATTAGTCATTTTCCTTCATATACATTGAGCTGCAGCAGCAGCGTTCAGCAAATTCCAGTTTGCGGCACCCACCTTACAGGTAGAATTTATGACCAAAATGGCACAACCGTTTGGCCCTACGAGAGCTGGCTCCATTCTATCAGAGCGGATAACTGGAGCCGACTGAATGGGACTTCCAACTGTTAAGTCGGAATGAGGGTGAAACTGCAAGAAAATGCTCAGCATTAAGTGACGCCTAACGGGAGCCAGGCTAAGAGTGAGGACACGCAGGAAGTGATGCGTAGTGGAGAAAGAGCGATGGCGGCCATTGCAAATTGGGCGGCGGTGTGTTCGAACCAATTGATTGTTGGCTAGATGCCAGAGGTGGGAGGTATCCCATGTATTGCTTTGCAAGGGGAGGGAGCGGGGGGCACATTATTTTCACTGTATGTACCGTTTCCTGTCTCTTCACATGATGCAACATGAGAAATATTTCTCGCATGTAATGAACGAACTCAAGAGTGTTTTATTGATTCCCCCTCCCCCCCCAAAAACAAAATCTTTGAACTTGCATTTAGTGAATTAGTGGTCTCCTGATGAATGTCTACTCGTCCCTGACGTACTACCGTATTGGCCCGGATATAAGACGGCCCTGATTATAAGACGACCCCCTCTTTTTCAAGACTCAAGTTTGAAAAAAAGACTTTTTGAACACCAAATTAATTTTTATACAGAAAATAATTATAGTACATCTGAAACAAATGATTATAATGATATATTTGAGAGAACAAGCATGTTATTTTGCCTCATTCAAATGTAAAGTGCAATCACATTCGTAAATGAATGGCTTCTGGTTTTTGAAATGTAAATTACATGATAACTTATACTCAGCTGCAGGTTAACCTGGCCGATCATCGACCCACCTTTCTTCAGATTGTCACTACGTTTCTCCATTTTCTGTTGTCTCTTCTATTATTTTCTTCTGTTTTCCTTGTTACCGCTATTTTTTATTTTTATTTTTCATGCTACCGCTATTTTTATTTTTATTCTTCGTGGCAGGGGTTCACTTTGGCCTGGGAAGGCAAGTTCAGCATTTGCTTCAATGATATCTGGCGCCATCTAGCGTCGTGAATGTGTATAATGTCTAGACCCCGAATATAAGACGACCCCCACTTTTTCAGTCTTATTTCAATGCAAAAAACACCGTCTTATACTCGGGCCAATACGGTATTTATGATTATCAGTTCTGAATCTGCTGTTCTGTAGCCTTAAAATAATTCCCAAGATTACACATACAATTATGAATCAGTATTTCATATTCTGATTTGTTATTGATCCAACTTGTAAGCAAATATTTTTTGCAGCCTGGTTGCGTCCATTGCTCACTTTTACTCGGGAAGCCCATTATTCGTTGACGTGAATGTAGATTTATGTCAGCACCCCAGAATAACGTGCTTCTTTTGTCAAAAAACATTTATCGAAAAAGGCCTCAACAACACACCGTTGGCAAAGGATGATTTGTTATCCTCATCCAAAGCAGTCCACAAATGCGGGTGGATACAAATAGTTCACGACACAGAACAAACGATTGTGATTCGGCCCCTTCTATTGGACTTTGCTTTCTTTAAGTGCGTTTGTCAGAAATGTGCCCAGAGTCACACGGCCACAGCAGGCAGTTGTCCCTAATGCATCCAGCAATTCCACTCCCTCCCTCACAAACTCGTATACACAAAAAAAAACACGCGCACACACATATAGGAGCTCCCTCACCACTAAAGCATCTGTGCCGGCTGTGTCTGATGGCATCGTAAAGACAGGAGTCAGTAGCGCAGGAAGAGAAGGGTGGTGTGAAGAGCAGCACTAACCGAGGCAATATACGTCGCAGATTAGAGATAAGAGAGTTCAGTCAATAGGCACTGATCTCATTTGAAGATACACCAGACGGACTCGACTCACACAAACAAGCACAAATTCACGCTTGCTCCTCTCGCTGTCGCCGGCGGGCGTCTTTTCTGTTGTTCTGCTACTCCGCCCCCCCACCCCAAAAAAATCGAGATTCAACAAAAAAGATCAGTTTGCTGTTTCACTGTGTGCAAAAAGCAAATTGAAAGCGTCCTGTGCTGATATGTAAGAATGCCACACAGCTATAGACACATGTTTCTTAAAACACAACATACACATCTCAACGTTCAGGTCGGAACTTTTCCATTGGAGAAAGGGAAAAACCGCACCGTGAAATAATTTGTAACTGGCGAGATTCAAATCTAAATTGATCATCGTCAACAGGAAGTATGCCATCAGTCATTCGTGTCTACTCTACACTATTGCTAACTTTGTTTGCGGGGTAAGTAGAAGAGAAAAAAAAACAACAATCAAAGCATAACGTTCTATTATTTATGCGCGTGTCCCAATTAAACTGATCATTCAAATTAAAAAAAAAAAGATACTTTTTAATGTTTTTAACACATTTAGCATTTTTTTATGCATTCAGAATAACACTCGTACTGTACATAGTGACAAATATATATACACACTTCGTTTTTGGATACTCCTATTGTATGTATATATTTATATTACACTTACATGGGACCATATATCGGAAATTCTGTGTTGTTAATAAATACATGAATTGCGTCTTGGCTAGTAGTCATTACCAAGCTTCTTTATGAGCGTTATTAATCAGCAACAATACCCCGCCCTCCCCAAAAAAGGGCCAATGTTTGTTTTATTGGCATTAAAGATGAGTGACCACCCAAAAACAAAGCGTTGCCACAATCAAGCATATGGCAACACACAACAAACAAGCAGAAAATGTGCCCAACGTGTGGTTATAAAACAAGACTAATGCCGACAAAACAACTCCAAACTGCGAAATGCTTCTTCTGGGAACAGAGCAGAAATGATGGAGCCGACATAAGACGTGAGAAGCCTTGGCACAAATCAGAGTGCATTGTTATGGTTTTGTTAGTGATGACGACGCAAGTGCAAAAAATAAAAAATAAATAAATAAATAAAATGAAGACCTGACTGTCGAAAATTATTATTACCACCGGCATTATTGTGATGTAGGCTATATGTGAATTATTGTCGTTAAAATAGATAGTCCCCATTGTGCCGCAATACTTGATATTCAGTGGAAATATATATTTGATTTTATGCGATATTTTCCCCGTTTGGCAGCACATCCGCATCACAGGCGAGGTGAGCGCGTTTCCCCAAAATATCCTCAGTTGTAATTGCGATCAAAATCGCAATTGAGTTCATTCATTTCATTTTCAGTTTGGTGGTGCAACACACACACAGAAAAAATCTCAAATGTGAAGAACAAAAATTACAATTAAGCCGTGCTGCTTTTTTTTTTTTTTTTTTTTAACTGGTAGTGTACAAATAAATATATAAAAAATGGGGGGGCATTTTAAAAGATAAAGATACATACATGTATACATTTAAGATTCTATATGGAATAATGCATTGTCAGTGATGGGATATCACGTTTTTCTCAATGTATATTTTAAAAAAAAAAACTTTTATTTCATGCATCACTATTCCATGCACTTTAAACTACCACTTATTGACAAATGTACTTACATTTCAATTTTTGAAATCGGTGCTTTGTTTCGCTTTACATTGTGGGTCATGTGATTTTATGCCACCGCCATTGTGAATCGCCTTTTAAAAGTGAGTGTCATTGAGGTGTACTAAAGAAAATGACGTTCCTGTCAAGAGAGACGACTCTGCTTCTTTATTATTTATTTATTTGTGTATTTCTTTTGTGTATCACACGCAAGGGGTTAGACAATGTCCGCCTTTTACATGCCGAGAAAAATGTTTCTTTCGGTTCATGTGAATGTCTTTCTATGTACGGTCTAACTGGCCACCTGAATGTGTGAAGTGTTTTGATCAACTACTGGCCCCGACTGCTGTCTGAAAATGCGACGCTTGTGTCTTCTCACATGCGGACCGCTTTCATGAAGAAATCCAGCAGACGTTTGAACAACTGCTGCTGTGTTTTCTAAGATGGGTTTCTTCAGGGTTTTATTTTTGTTTGTTTTTTTTTCAATTACTATATATTTTGTTGTTGTTGTTGTTCAACCCCAACCTGGCCAATAGAGGGCAGTATGGCACATTTCAAATTTCCAGGGAAAGTTTACCTCGAAAGTACTCTTTTTTTTTTTTTTTGGGCGAGGAGGTGATGATGCCATCCTAAAATTGGAAGCGGAGTTATTGCAATGTAATGATAGCGCCCGGTGAAATATGGCAAACTTGACAATAATTGGCATGAATAATAAAAGAAGCAAAAGCAATAATCTCGCCCCGCACATTCATCACCGTGTCACACGTCATCAGAAAGTGACATTGCCCCCTCCCACACCCACCCCACTCCAATCCCACCCCAAACCCTCGAGCCGTAATTTCTTCATGGCAGCTTACCTGCAATGACGGAGATTCACAAAATCTATTCTCAACTAAATAAGAAAATATGAACTGGGGGGTGGATGACGGCATTTGTTCCAATTGTCTCCTCATGGATAAATCCAAAGTGTGCTAAGGGTTTGTTGCACCTCTGTGATCTATTTCCTGAACCTACATATGATGTGTGTAGCCTCGTGTCCCCTATAGGATTGGCGGGGGACAAAAGACTTCTGAATCAAGCCGCAAGAATCCACATGGGAGCCAATTTAAAAGGCCACTTATTTTTCATGAAGCCGTCCTGAGAGTCGCGACAATTTTCAAACAGAAGTAAAGTTCACGTGCAACCGAACCGTATCAGGAAACTTTCGACGACTTTTCACGCAGGTTTTTACATTCTGGGGTAATTCTGTTGTATATTGTTTTATGAAAAGCTCGCCAGACAAGTTGTGTGCTCCAGACTTATCATGTGGAATTGTGTTTCCGTTGCTACTTATCTTTCATAAATCATCTGGTATTAATCCCCCACAAAGCGAACATTTCTAATGTGTGTGCATAACAATATACGATGTCTTTAAAGAGACACCCGTGAGGTTTTCTCGTCTGCTCTTTTAAAGAGGTTGATGGCCCACCCACTATCTGAGCTGCTTTTTTTCGGCGTTCACCTCTTGTCTTGTGAAACTTGACTGATGAGCCAAGCCCCGTCGCTCACCTCGAAGGCTCTTTGTCTCTGTTCTTCTTGCTGCAGCATGTGGACTTTATTTGAAGACGTTTCACACGTAGACACAGGCAGGCGAAGAGGAGCGCGCAGGAGGAAGTTTTGGAGGTTTGGGAGGAGGGAGTCGCAGGTGCACAGACTTCTCAAGCCATTATTATTGCGCAGTGTTTTTTTTTTTGTTTTTTTTGGTCATATCGACTCAATTCTCAAGCATTTCCTTGATCGTCTAATACACGGGTGTATACCTAAGCTCCGGCGGCAATATTGTAGCTCACGTTACCTGCCAATTCCTCCAGCCTGCCCCTCAGCTCCTGCCGCTCTGCTTCCTTTCCATCCTCCGAGGCTTCTTCTCGGCAGCATTACAAAACAAGTCTCAGAGGGTGCGAGCCTGTTAAGCTGAGACGAGAGGAGGCGGTTATCAGCTGTGATTGGTGACACACCGGTACAGCGCCACAGGTCCTGTCTCTCATGGTCTCCCATCGGAAGGGGGCAGGACTAAGCAACTACAAAGCGGTGCTGAATTTTTTACAGGCAGCCCCTTTTTGAAGATCCAACTTCCCCCAATTCACACTTCTGTCGTCTCTGCTTTACAGAGAAACAGGGCAAATGGCACGACAGACTGGTATCGCTCCTAACTGATACACCGTTGAGCTAGGAAAAATAAGGGGGGGAGGACATTTAAAGTAATTAGCGCATTTTCCACACACCTAAAAGCATTCAATTTTCTCAAAAGCCAACAGTGCGCTTTATAATCCAATGCGCCTTGTATATGGATCAATATTCTAATGTCTTGGACTTTTGAATGTTTTTTAAACCTCTTTGTTACAGCTGCAGCGGTTGTGAAAGCGCTCTATAAATAAAGCAGTATTGAATTCCTTTTAGCATAGCTCCATCTAGTGGCTGCATAACGCAACCGCAGCCACTATTGTAGCTCCCATTATTTGCGCCTTATAATGCGGTGCGCCCTATATATGATAACTGTTTTAAAATAGGCCGTTCGTTGAAGGTGCGCCTTAAACTCCGAAGCGCATCATCGTGCGGAAAATATGGTAACATGATTGTATTTTATAATGTATGCATAAAACGGGAAATTTCACATTATTGACTGCGATGTACAATTGCATAGGACTAACATTTTGTTGGGTACATTTGTCCATGAATAAATCCAGTCGGGCTCCATTTTAGTGAAGGGCATAAATCCTGTGCTGTGCCTGTGCGCAGATGCGGGTTAGACCTGGTGTTGGTGCGGGCAGGCGGATCTAGGGTACATTTGTCCATGAATAAATCCAGTCGGGCTCTATTTTAGTGAAGGTTGGTGCGCGCAGGCGGATCTGGGAGAGGAAAGTCTGTACTTCTGTGGGAGTGGACAGCCAACTTTACTCATGGCCAATCAAAGCAGCTCCTCTCACTTTCTTTCAATGCGCTAGTCACGCACAAGAGTTTCAACGTCCGGGTGCAAACAAACGCTTTGAATGATAATAATTACTCATGCATTCATTTAATTGATTGTGGAGCCTTTGCCAACTGTTTTTCGGCGAAAAGAGGGTATACCCTGAATTGGTTGCAAGCCGATTGCAGAGACATGAAGGCATATCCAATGGTCTAACTTCATGGTTGATTAGAGTGTAGTGGATTATGGTTGTTCCGCCATGCCGCAATCCTTTGGAATGTCCTTTTCGAATAATTGCATTCCTTCAAAGTGTTGGGATATTATTACATTTCAAAAGGTCAAGAATACAACATCTTCCAGTCTTTTGCCACTTTGACCTTTCAGTTAAAATATAAATTTGGTCAGGGTACGAATAGCCTTTTGCAATTTAACACATAAAATCACCAAGTAAGTCTACAACCGAAAAATACAGAATGTACTTTTTGAAAAGAAAAAAAAAAGTGTAGTATCATGCTATGACAAAAACAGATATTTACTCAGCGTATTAACACTCGCTCTCTAATTTATTATCCGAAGGGGTTGAAAACAAAAAGATTTTGTGCTTTTTTTTTTTTACATAAATAAGTACTAAATACTGTAACTGAAACAATAAAACGGATGTTTTGAGGGTTAAATTATATAAAATGTGTGTGTGTGTGTGTGTGTGTCTGTATTTTACATGTGTAGATATATTCTTGATTTTTCTTTTTTTTTTCTTCTTTTTTTTTGGCTGACCAATGCCTGCTCCACTCTTTAGCCCATTTATCAGTACTGACTTGCCCATTTTTACTATATATTACTGATAAATGGGTAAGTCCATTTATAGTGTACCAAAATTTCAACCTGTGCCCGTAAAATTTCATGTTAGGGTGCACTGTGCTCCTTGTTAAAAAAAAAAAAAAAAAAATGTCTGTTGCCCTGCTAAATCGTGATTTTTCAAAAGGGTAAGAAACGTTTAGGTTAGGCCTTTTCTTTCCTTGTTTCATCATTACTGTGTTATGGTGTACAAGAAAGGTGTCCGTAAAGACATTCTTGGATTAGTTTGGTGTTGAAGAACTTAGCAGGTCCATACACGAGATGACAAAATGGCGACCTCCCATCATCCAACGTCAGTGACTTTGTCTTGAGGATGAATGGACACATTTGCAGGAGGGGACCACCCACAGATTTTCTTCACTAATTCTTTAAATGGTTGTTTAATGACTGTATAACTGTAAAAAAAAAATGCTGTAAAAAGAATTAAATAAATACAACACAAACAATATTTCCTGTCTGCAATGTAACCGTGTCAATGTATTTACCCTTCCCTTGTTCTTTCTCTTTTAGTAAATAAGACTCTAAAGTGATGGGTACAGATGGACATCAAAAACTGAGAAGAAAAATGTGGAAAGCAGAGAGACTACACGAAAAGACCAACAGAAACAAAAAGCGTGTTCCGGAGCCGTCGTATGGAGAAGGGGAAAAAAAAAAAAAAAACCCAACCTGAAGGATGAACGGAAGATGATTGTAGGCCTACTGCGAGGCCACGGCCCGAACCATTGAATCTCCGTAGTCTATTATGGGGCAGGAGGGGCTGCTGGCTCTGACCCCTGTCGAAAAACAAAACAAGCCTTGCTGAGTGGAAGAGACCAAGTTGACAGGCCACCATAAAACAATTTATTTTTGTAAAAAAAAAAAAAAAAAATCTGTTTATCATTTCCAAAAGGAACAAAGACTAATGTATGTATTATGAATATGTACGTGTGTATATCTATAGTGTGTATGTGTGTGTGTATACATATACATACACATGCATCTGGGTGTAATACTGTAGGTATGTTTAAAAAAAAAAATGTGTCCTTACAATTTAGAAGAGGAGCAGTGAGGTGACAGTCGAACCCCTGATGTCTTCGGATTGTATCCCGTCGCGCAACACACTCACACCCATGAAACCCCCCCTTTCTTCATTGGGCTTCTGCCCGGTTGAACGAGGGGCTTGATGGGTTTTTGTGTGCGCGTGTGTCTCGGATGGGTCGCAGCCGGTCGAGGAGACGTTCCAAATCTTGAAGGACAAAAGATAAGGAGCCAGTGTCATCTTCTTACTGTAGTGCGGTAGCTGTTACTTTTCTGGCATGTCTTATAATGTCCACAAAAAAAAAAAAAAAAAAAAAGAATGTGTGCCACTGCACTAGTCTGTACAGATGGAAATAAGAAAGAATGAATGGGGACGTTCTATGAATAGGTCAAGGTTCGATACAGGATACCTTTGCTGGAGGGCCTGCCATCATTCCAACCAAATGTGTCGATGTGGTGTCGTGGTCGAGGTGGCTGTGCTGTGTAGTGAACTGCTTTCATCCGTTGTGTCGGGTTTTCGGTTGGGTGGGGCCAGACAGCGCACAAATTAGACAAGACACGGGAGCTGCTCTGAAGCATCGGACAGAGGGGACGGAAGATTGGAGGATTTAAAATAAAACAAGAGAAAAGAAAAAAAAAAAAAAGCCCAGCCCGAGACCGTATTTGGACAATGACTGAGGTTTTGTGATTTTATTTTGAAAAGCCAGTCACAATGGATTTAATGTCATTAGTTTTTGGTGGTTGCATAAAATGATTGAATTACATCAATGTTTTTTAATGGGCTCAGTAGTATTTGGAGACATGACACAATTGTCAAGAAAACCATAATTTGTAATCCAGGGTTTGGATTACAAATTACCCAACCGCATCAAGTCCATAAAGTGGTCCTACTTTGCGAATGCTAGATTTTTAAAATTTTTTGTGAGTTCGCATCAATCATGTCTCAACCGCTTTATTTTAAATCCAATGTGTTGGTGCTCAAAGCCAAAATCTCGGAAATTGTCAACAATCGTTGTCCAAATGCTTCCGGGTTGAATTCACTGTATAAAGACGAAAAAGGGAGTCGAGGAAAAACAAAAGTTTTATGAAGAGTCTCTTTCATCCTTTCTATTTAAATGGATCTCTCTCTTTAGTGACATCCTTCTATATTTAAAACATTGTACTAATAACATGCTGTTGGGCATGACCGAAAAGTCAACTGTAGCCATTTACTAATGTTGTATTTATTGTATTACTGGTAAGAAGACAAAAAAAAAAACATTTATATATGAATATAGATATATATCTATTTGTGATCTGCAGCTATTGAGAATAAGTTTGCCTTTGATTTTCGACTCCCACGCAGGATTTAATGCACTGTCAAACGTATGAAGAGTTTTCTACTCGGTGTGACGTTTTATTCTGTTGACATTCATTTGGTTTTGTTTTGTTTTTCTTTTCAGTTCAGCTACTGAATGTAAGTCAAAAACTCTCGGAACTTTCTAGGTAGGTGGTGTTGTTTTCTATTGACAGTATCTATATTTAAAAAATACAGTGCTCTGTAAATGATATAAATGTGTAAATGATATAGCAAAATGTTTCTGATAAGATGCTGGACTTCTACTGACCCGGAGTGACTGTATTATCACGGTTCATGTGAAAAAAAGAGGATAAGCTAGAATGAAAATTGGAGGAGGGGAGCATCCTGAAGGACCACCGGCACCCTGCAGCCGGTGAGAGAGATAGAAATGTTTAATCATTGCAGGATCAGTTAGAATTTTTCTTTGCCTGGCTTTTCAAATTTGATGAGAACAAGGAAATTGGGAGCAGACCGTCCCGTGTGAATAATACAGAGGCAAAGATGAAAAGGTCTTTTTTGAAATAGTTTTTTTTCTACAGCTTCCCTGAATCTTCGTGCTGTTAAGGTGCTACGGTTTGGTGTGTGCAGTCGTCGAAAGTTAAAAGTTAGTTTTTTTGTGAGGAAAAGGGGGTGGACAAAATTTCGAGCTTTCAGATTTCTTTCGTGTTTTTGATTGCGTGTCGGTATCAGTTTTAAAACTCAAGGAATTGTCCGTTGCGGTGGCTTATTAGTAGGATTCAAACAAATCAAAATGAGAGCATCATAATTGTATGTTCAAATAGTGTTTTGGGTTTTTTTCCCTAAGCATTCATTTGGAAAATCTTGATAAAAAAAAAATCTTAAGAGTTTTTGAACCTCTGGAGCTAGCATACGTCAAGCTAACGTCATTTGTAAGGAAGTGGTAAGAAAGAGCAAAGGTAAACATTGTAAGTATGTAGCAGTTGTAGAAAGTTAAAAGTTAGGTTTTTCTGAGGAAAAGGGGGTGGACAAAATATTGAGCTTTCAAACTTCTTTAATGTTTTTCATGAGTGTATAAGTTCGAAAACTCAAGGAATTATCCGGAGCGATGGCTTATGAGGATTTAAACAAATCAAAATGAAAGCATCGTATTTTTCTTTTCAAATAGTGTTGTTTTGTGTTCCCCCTTCATTTAGAATGTCTTTATAAATCAATTTTTGAACCTCTGGAGCTAGCATACTTCAAGCTAATGTTTGGTCATTTGAAAGGAAGTGGCAAGAGGGAGCAAAGGTAAATATTGTAAGTTTGTAGCAGTCTTTTTTATTTCCCTGTGGCCTTAACGTTCGAGCTGCATGCGGCAATACAATAATGGGTACTCTTTTGGTTGTTTTGGCCGCTTGCAAAACCGTTCGTGGAGATAGAAAAGGGCAGCTTTTGAAACTGGGTCTCAAAATGGAAGTCACCGCTGTTTTTGCTGCTCACCGCTCCAACTCACCTAAAGTGCGGTTTACGTTTCCCGAGACGTATGACTCACCCGGTTGAGTCTTTAAAAATGTAAACAGCTGTGCGATCATTTTTGACAAGATTGTCACATTTTTCAAATCTACAAAGAAACAAAAACTATTTTACTCGACCATTCTCGTTCGGGTGCGGACCTGACAGTAAAGATTTAAATCAGCACCGTGTGATACACTTGGACATGATACTTAGCACCGCATGGTTGAATTATTCAGCGAGAAACCATGGCTAGAATATTTTAGGTCTTTTTGTCTCTTGATGATTAAGATGAACAACAAAAAAAACTCCCGCACCAAAAAAAATGTGATGAAAACAATCTCCATGGCAGAGGTGTATTGGCAGCCATTGTTGTAGCTTATTTTTCCACAAATGTTTCGATATTTGAGTTTGACGGTGACAATATATATTCGCAGCGATGAATCTTAATAATTGGCTTTTTGCCCTTCGCCTTCACGGTGGTCAACTTTTGTCACACTTTTGATTCACTAGTCTTGGCATGATTTTGTCCACCCTCTGAAAAAGAGCACTGTGCATTGATGAATGTAGCAGCCTCAGGGTGCTTTTTTTTTCCCCTTCCCAGTGAGCTTTCAGGAATCTCTGACAGAGGAGGGAATTCTTGCCACAAAATGACACAGAAAGCTGAAGTCTCCTCCTCCTCCTCCTCCTCCTTTTCTTTCTCTTCCACTGTACAATGAACGAGTCGTCTTGTGTTCCGCTCAAATAGAGTGCTGTTTGGAAAAATATCACGAGATAGATGCCTTCCGTGCAGCGGCATTTGTATCGTCAAAAAGTGCACATGACACGTTAAGGACAGTCGGGTCATGCAGTGCACGACGGTGCGCTCTCTGGTTGAAAGCCTTTTTCACAGACTGACACCAAATGTGGGTGTGTGACTGCGGGGGGCGTCAAAGTGGATTATCTTTCACGAAAGGCTTACCCACCCTCATCCCGCCGCGATCCACCGCACTTTAACCGGGATCAACCACTGGCAGTTGGATCTGGAAAACGGAGGCAAAAAAAAAACAAAAACAAAAGAAGAAAACCCAATGAAAGACTTAACAGAAATCGAAACAAGAACAAACTACGAAAGCAACTAACGATGTCAATCTAAGCAGAGATCGAGGTTCACTCGGATCTTTGTCTTGTTCTTCTTGAAGCTAAAGTTTTCTGGGGGGGTTTTCTGTTATTGGTTGAAGATTTTCATCCTGTTTACATATGACCCCCCCAATTGCTAACTCTGGTTAGAAGTCAGGGGATTTAAAAAAAAAAAATACACACACAGAAGAGGCTTCCATTCAGGCATTCATGGCAAAATCCGGTCATTCTGAGAGGAACCCTACAAGCTAGAATGTCCCGTGTTTCCTTTCCCTTGAAGATCTTCATCCATGACAAATCCTTGAGCTTCCTTTCTAATGTCTGCAAGAAGTTCCCCATGTTATTTTGTCATATACCTCAGACGCAAGAACGAAAGCAGATTCTCCTGTCAAGTTTCCGGCCAACCAGACCCTTGCTTAACGCCACTTTGTTACCCCAGCTCCACCCGAAAAAAAAAATCCATATGCCAAAACCACACCTACCTCCCCTGGTAACCCACTGACCTCCACATCGAAGACCACAGTATACTACTTTGGACTTTTTCTCCCCCCCCCCCCCCCCAAAAAAATAATAATAAGCTTGCTCAAAATTGTGCTATACATCCTTCCAATTTAATTTATTTATTTATATGGGAGCATTTCATTATGGGAAGAAAAAAAATGGTGTAGCTTCCAAAGTCCTACACCACAAGGTTCATAAAACTGAAAACAAGTTATAACTTGTAACTCACAAAAGCTTATATATATTTTTTTTTTAATTTATATTTATTTGGAGGAAAATAGGTTTGGAAATCAGAACGTATAGGAAGTCCACCAGCATCACAAAACAAATTAAGAATAAAACTATCAGTGTGTGCTCATATTTGAAGGTGATTTTGCTTGAGGCTTTTATTTATGTTATTTTATTTATTATTTATTTATTTATTTGTATACTGTGGCCTTTACACCTCCAACACTCCTCAAACCCCAACAGCCGTCCTCTCCTATGCAGCCCCCAAAGCACAAAGTTTTGAATGGTAGAAAGAAAAAAAAAAAGATTTCCTCCCATACTGTTGTATCTCTTTTGGGTCTTTTTTTAATGTATTTGAGGCTTTCAATGTGCTTTTGTATTCTTACATGCAGATCTTCTTTTTCGGCTTTTGGATCAAGCGTATCAAACTCCAAACTCTTCTGTGACATCAGTCAATTTGCATTCTCTTTTCTCCCCCCCCCCCCTACCTCCCCACATCGGACTGTAATGAAGAGCAAATCTGTTAATTTACTTGGCTCTTGAATTCCGTAATGTAATTGTTGAAACGTCTCCTGACGAATCCCTCCCTTGCACAGTACGTAGCAAGAAAAGTCCTCTTAGCGGAGAGCGAGAGAGCGGTTTGGTGCTATTAGTTGTGGACTTGGCTCAAAAGTCAGCCTTCAAGCTTTGCTATGTTTTTTTTTTCCTTTAAATGAGAGCTCCATCACCAATAATAATAGTCACACATGATCTTCACTACAGTCCTGCGTGTTTGTACAGTTTCTCCATAAGTGTTGGGACATATTCTGCCCCTGCGCATTGGGTCACAACAGCAATCTTCACTCAACTTGAATATTGAATAGTTTGATTCGAAGTATGATTTTTTATTTTTTATTTTTTTTCTTGAGAACCACACGGCGTCATGCATCCTTCAGCAAGTCTTTGGACATCCGCGCTAAATCTTTGAAGCAGGTTGACGGTCTCAAGTTGATTTGATGTGTTTGGATAATAGTTGATTTTCATAAAATAATACTCAGTATGGTACTTCACCAAGGTTAATAGGAAAAGAGCTTGGGCTTCAAAAAAAAAAAATCTGACAAAAATGAGTAAAGAAAGTAATTTTTTTTTGTACGTGTGTCCCAATACTTATGAATATCGTTTTTATTATTTTTTTTCTGAATTTATTTTTGTAGAATACCAATGTGCTCCAAACTAATAATGCTCTTTATTATGATATTGGTGCATTATCACAATGATTATTACAGTTATTCCAACCATAAATATTATTAATAAACATTTCTTTAATCAATAGATTTGATCCTTTTTGTTAATGTGTTGTGAGCTATTTTCTTGAATATATTGTCATTTTGTTTTCACCTGATTTTATAATAAGCACTTGTGCCCCTTGGCGGCCGATATTTTGTGTTCAAGCCAGCGCTTGTCTGATGGTCAACTGCGCCAGCAGGGTAGTTGTGTTTGATTTATGACAATATTTTGTTTTGTGATTATTAATAAGTAACAATCAACACATTTACACATGATATACATGTCCACACACCTAAATGCAGCCAGCGGAACCATGGGAAGAAAGTGGCAGGAAGGCTCAAGTCATCGGAAAAAAGTAAGTCAGACCAAACTTTTGTGCCAGTGGGAGCATTTTCGAATGTAGTCATTAAAATTTGAATGTGGATCCTGTTGGCTTTCTTTTTTTTTCTTTTTTGGAAAGGCTACAACGCCAAAAGAGAGACCAACCTTGACGAGCGGGATTTTTCAGACTCGGGAAAACAGCTGTCAAGGTGCGTAGATACTCAGCACGCGCATAGCAACCCTGACCTTTGAATAGGTTGAACATAAGACCTTGGATCCCGAAAGTAACCCAAACATAAAAAGAAAGAATATATAAAGAATACTTGAGTGAATGTAATAAATTATATCAACAGCATTATGAGAAACTGAATGAAGAAAATGAGAAAGCAAGTGATATCGGATTGGAGGGGGATAAAATATTGGCAAAGCCCCTAAACCAGCTTGATTTTGGCCAGGCAAGAAAGTGGTGTCAAAATATGTTTATGATTCTTCATCCTATTTTGGCAAAATTATGTCGCCCACATTATTATGGCACCTGGGAGCTGATACAGAAGAAATATTGGTAACCGATTCCCATTCCACTTCCAAACCGCACTGCTTGCACACATCCAAATATCGATCCCCTCAATACATTTCATCGTTACCTTATATAGAAATACATCGAGGTCGAGGATAAATGGGGTTTACCTAATTTTCTCTGTCCTATCTTGGGGTTAAGTTGTATTAATCGGAAGGAAAAATCTGTTCGGAGGGCCACATGGCTACTGTTAAGAATTATGTTTGGTAAACACGATTCACACAAGGGGGTCAAAAAGCATCGACAACAGATTTAGAACCACGCAGCTTTCTTGATGAACAATTTTTCCTCGCCAAGTTGTCCTGCCTGCCTGATATAAATTTTTATCACAGCAAGCCAGCTCAATTCCTCGAACTGTAAATATCCTGCACCGGGACATCCCATATATTGAGCTAAATTGGTTTAGCCCACACTGTGACCTCCCTTGTCTTGTAAATTGACTGCTACTAAACTCTGTTATGGTTAGAGAATGGGTGTGCGCGATCCTTGCACACCCAGAGTGGAACGTCAACAGTTGAATGCTTCAAAAGTCGATTCAAATGTGTCTCTGAAGTCCGAAACACGGAAGTCAGTGTGATCAATTCACACGAGTTGCATGCCAGACATTATGTTCGGAGGAAACCAGGCGGCGCTTTTGACCTGGCCAATTCCATCGCTACAATGAAGCATAGTGGTGGTAGAATCATGCTGTGGATATCCTGCACCGGGACATCCCATATATTGAGCTAAATTGGTTTAGCCCACACTGTGACCTCCCTTGTCTTGTAAATTGACTGCTACTAAACTCTGTTATGGTTAGAGAATGGGTGTGCGCGATCCTTGCACACCCAGAGTGGAACGTCAACAGTTGAATGCTTCAAAAGTCGATTCAAACGTGCCTCTGAAGTCCGAAACACGGAAGTCAGTGTGATCAATTCACACGAGTTGCATGCCAGACATTATGTTCGGAGGAAACCAGGCGGCACTTTTGACTTGGCCAATTCCATCGCTACAATGAAGCATAGTGATGGTAGAATCATGCTGCGATGTTTTTTCAAAGGCAGGAACTGGAAGACTAGTCAGGAACGATGAATACAGGATGAAAAAGCTGGTCCAGAGCAATCTTGACCTCACTTCAATTTTGCAACAACATTAAGCACTCAGCCAAATTTTCAAAGTCATGGCCTTGGGACAACTTTGCGAATGGCCCTCAGTGGCCCGGGCAGAGCCCAGACTCGATTTTGATTTCAGATCTCAAGAGAGATCTAAAAAAAAATGACTGTGTGTTGACTCCACCATCCATTGTGATGGATTTCAAGCGGCACTGCTCAGAAAAATGGTCGACCTGGCAAATTACTCCATTTTTTTTTTTTTTCCTCAAGAAACTTTAGCCTGTAATTGCTGCCAAAGGTGCATGTGATTTCTTGGTGTTTTTTGTTTTGTTTTGTTTTTTTTATAAGAGATTTTTGACCTCATTCAGATTTGTCAAATCATTGCAGGGGCGTTGTGCGTAAAATTTTGCCCCGCGAAGATTTCCTCGGTGCACCGTATGGATGGATGAGTAAACGTGCTCTGTTAAAACATTCCCATTCAACCATGTAGAATTAAACGCCATCAAAACAAAAAAATATCCGAAACCTAAAGATTGATGCAAGTACTCGCACATGTATTTGTGAGTTCACATTCATGCCCTCGGCGAGCAAGACCGCGACCGCATGTTGACGCACAAAACAATGTTGACGATAATCACAGGGAAGCTTGTTGCTTCGGAGTCATCTAAAGCGCGCCCACCGCCGAATAATTGTCGTCGCTCTCGTAAAGCTAAGACCCACCGTGTCCTGTTCTCGTCTTTCTGATGACGACACAAGGAAACATCTCATGTTTGAACATCAAGCCTATCGTCTAATATCACATCACCAATGTATAAGATGAAGACGTGGATGCGTGGCTGAGGCGGAGTAGGCCAAAGCATTAATACTACTCAGTGGTGCGGTAAATTAATTTTGGATTGCTTTCTCGAGGTTTGAACAAAATTGTTGTGTTGAGAGGGGGGAGGAGGGCGGGGTGTGGGGGGGGGATTAAGGTTTTTAATTACCCAGGGTAATTCATTCCACAAAATAAATCCCAGCTGAATTGGACTGAGTTCTGTCAGCCACCTTGTGTGGTGGTGATTAAAAGAATGTCACGTGCGCAGTCAACCATCAGTCATGTACGCCACACAAATCGACGGCGGTAATACTGACTTTAAACCCCTTTTCGAGCCATCATTTTTTTCAAATTAGTGAGCTTGCCACAAAATCCACCCTTCCCATTTTACAGTTTGCTAAATCCCACACGAATGGCACGAAAGAAAAGATGTCTTGCAAATTAAATCAGCCCTTGTTTGCTCTCATTTTTTTTTTTTTGGTCATAATTGGACATACTGTAATTGAATAGCAATCATTGCTGAATGTATTCTTCGGTGAGGTTTATGCAATTAGACTCGGTATTACTGACAATGACGGTTGACTTCTCCTGACGTCCTACGAATTGCCGTCACTCGGCGTCAGGTAATTTCGACTTGGGTCTTTGTACGGTCGGCTAACG